GCGGTTTTAAGTCGGTTTGTTGTGACACCATAAATCCGATATTGATCTACAAACAAATAATAAAAGCCAGATCACTTTAAGAATAATTGCCAAATCCTCGTTATAAAGTTACCTGTGATGGCTTACCTTGACAGGTTTACTCTGTAACTTGAGTTTTAATTTGCTCCACAGCTGAAGGCCTGACGCTCTTTGGATTTTGATTTTTTGTACTCCATGAACTGCTTGTATGACGGACATGTTTGTTCTGGTTGAATGAAAAACGTTTGACATCAAAACGGTTAGCACTCTCCATTACTAAACGTAACGAGAATACAGTATAAGGAAACAGAAACAGAAACCGGAGCCAAAATGGTAAATAAACGTGCTATTTAACTGAAATAGCGTAGACTGTCTGAAGAGAACAAAAAGTGAGTAATATATCAAAATTACTTTGTTCAGAATTTCTGTTTGTTTTGATGTCCCCGGGAGTTGATCCTTCAGCCTGGTCTGTGTCCCGCAAAAAGCTCCAGAGACGTCCACAGGAAGCACAAAAAGGGGTGAAGAGGCTGAAGCTAACGCCAAAAACGGGCAAAACATTTTCCGGTTCTCTATGTAGTGCAGCAAGCACCGTCAGGGTGATAAGGAAGCGCTGTGAGGCGTGAGTTTCTCAACGTTTGTTGACATCCCGAATCACTTTTCTGAGCTACAAATATGGAGTAAGCCTAATCGTTGTGCCACTTTCCGGTATTTCAGACAATCCCTTTCCGTCAAGGATTTTTAATTTGTTGTGGATTTTTAATTTGTTGCGGTTTTTTAATTTGTTGTGGATTTTTGATTGTTTGCGGTTTTTAATTTGTTGTGGATTTTTGAATTTGTTGCGGTTTTTTTAATTGTGTGGATTTTAATTTTGTTGCGGTTTTTAATTTGTTGTGGATTTTAATTTGTTGCGGTTTTTTAATTTGTTGTGGATTTTAATTTGTGTGGATTTTAATTTGTTTTTTTTTTTTTTTTTTTTGTGGGTTTAATTTGTTGCGGTTTTTTAATTTGTTGTGGATTTTAATTTGTTGCGGTTTTTTAATTTGTTGTGGATTTTTTAATTTGTTGTGGATTTTTAATTTGTTGGTTTTTTAATTTTTGTTTTTAATTGTTGCGGTTTTTTAATTTGTTGTGGATTTTTATTTGTTGCGGTTTTTTAATTTGTGATTTTAATTTGTTGTGGATTTTAATTTTTGCGGTTTTTAATTTGTTGTGGATTTTTAATTTGTTGCGGTTTTTAATTTGTTGCGTTTTTTTTAATTTGTTGTGGATTTTAATTTGTTGCGGTTTTTTAATTTGTTGCTGTTTTTTAATTTGTTTGCGCTTGCACTTCCCAGCCACCGTACTCTACTGTCCATTCTATATTTCAGTACATAACTGAAACCGATTTAGTCGGGGAGGGTAAGAACTGAAAATATGAAAATAAACACATGTAAGCTAAGACTCTCTAAAAAAAATAGCATTTGTTCGGCTTTTCATTTCGCCATTTGTTGATTCACTGAAGAGCAAGTAACGTAATATTGGTCAAGTGATCAGTTTGATATCAATCTTTCGTGATGCACCGTCATATTTACATTATTTGTACAGTACGAATGATTTTCTTTGGTACCTGGTCAAACTTAAGCTCTCCTTAGTATGGCTGGCTCCGTTTCTCCAACAGCGCATTCACAGGCAGCAGCTGCCCCGCCCCCTCGCTCAGTCGCTTAGTGCCTGAGCTCGGATCATAACCAACTCAGGGGGGATTCACGCACAGTCGTAAATTCCCACAGTGTGCACTATGTGCTTCGAATATTGTGTGTACTTTTTGTTTTATACAGTCAGTGCCGTAGCTCCGCAACGCACATAACGCACACTGCGTAGGGCACCAAATGGCCGGTAGGGCACCAAAAATCAGGGTCGTAAAAAAAAAAGTAAACCATATTAATACTATAAATATCATATGCATTAATATGGTTAAACAATACAAAGCAACATAAACAATTTTCCCGAGAAAGGGGTGAATCTGCTTTGTGCCCTGTCTCCAGTCTCCTCCTGGTGCCCCCCCACTCCCAGTGGTCTGTTCTATAATTGGTAACACCTGTTTGAACATGGCCTCGAAACGGCAACAGGAGTCGGGAGCGGAGAAAAGAAAGAAGAAGAGGAAGCGTGATGAAACTCAGGCGTCGCTTGCCGGTAAGGCAATGTTTAAATAATAATAATAAAAAAAGTTCATTATTGTAGCCCTTGCTTGCACGCTCATGGTCCGTCAACTCTGTGATAGCTCTGTTAGCAGTGTTCATACTGTGTTAACAAATGTTGCAATGATTGATGTTGGGTAGTTTGTTTACGTTGTGGATATGAATATAGAATGGACTACTAAAAGCAACTCATCATGGTCCTCAATTGACGGTTTTCAGATAACGTTAGCAATCGTGACTCACGTTGCTAACGTTATCGTGATTCGTGAGACTAGCATTTCCCTCCTCAGGTTGCTAGCTGGCTAACGTCATGCATGCTACTGATTAACCTTAACTTGGGATAGGTCAGTGATGCAGTCAAGTATTATTATCAGATTAGACAAGATTACTTTGTATGTTGCTGCATTTCAGGATATCTATAAAGACGCATATCTTATTTATGCCATTGACGTCTGAACACATAAATAGTTCTCGTCTTTCTTTAGGTTCATAGATCAAGGGCGACATCTGTTGGTGAAACTGTAATATGAAACCTATATCTTCCAGTAATATAGATTTCCTACTTGCGCATTTATATCAAATTATGTACAGCATGTTTATATTGCCATTTGCCATTATGAAAATCTATACATGTAAAATATAGTTAGTAATTTTAAATGTACCAGTGACTTACTTAATTTATTAGTCTTATAATGCAATCTTTCGTAGGCCTACTGTAGATTCAAAATTGTATTTCTGTAAATCCCTGAATATTTCTCTTGTATGCAGGGTCAATGCTTAAATATGTTCAAGGAGGATCTCAAGGACAGGATGAACCATCCAGTAGTAGTGCCATCCCTGGACATCAACCACCAGCCATTGTAGACCCTGCAACAATCCCTAGCCAAGAAGAACAAGAACCATCAACCACCAGTTCAGGTACAGTTCCATACACAAGTACCACTGAGAGTCCTGTCACTGAGAGACTATCAGAAAGTGACACTGTGGAGACATGTGTGCCCCCTTCAACCGATCCTGCTCTTTGGCCAGCTCACATTGTAGATGCTGATCGTGTTGAAATTGTGCGGAGAGGTCCTTTTAATGTCAGCTCTGATTTTAATTTCCAAAGGGGCCTGATGGAAGAGCATTTCACACTAGCCTTAAGTTCAAAATTCTTCCCATGGAGAAAAGGTTCACCGGAGCTGGTTAGTGTACTCACCGCAGAACAATGCTGTGTTCTGCTTTGCATGTAAGCTTTTCAGTGTGAAGGATATAAAGCTGAGTACAGAGGGCTTCAGTGACTGGTCGAACATCAACATCCGTTTGAGGGTCATGAGTGTAGCCAAGACCACATACAGTGCATGCTTAAGTGGAGAGAACTGGACACACGGCTAAAGAAAAGCATGGCAATAGATCAACAGGAGTTGACCTTACTAGAGGCAGAAAGGAAAAAGTGGCGAGAGATTCTCAAACGATTACTCTCAATAACTCTCTCACTGGCTTCCAGAAATTTGTCTTTTAGGGGCTCTTCTGACTGTCTTTATGAGCCGGACAATGGCAACTTCTTGAAGGAAGTAGAGCTTATGGCAACATATGACCTTGTAATGGCAAATCACTTGGCCAACATAAAAGATGAAGGTTCCCACACACATTACCTCAGCCCTGAGACACAGAACGAACTAATTCAGATTATCTCTTCAGAAACATTCCGCGCCATTGTGAAGCAAATCCAGTTGGCAAAATACTTCTCCATCATTCTTGACTGTACTCCAGATGTGAGTCACACTGAACAAATGTCAGTCATAGTACGCATTGTTTGTTTCCAAGCACAACCAGATATTAAAGAATACTTTCTTGGCTATATAAATGTGGAGCAAACAACTGGCCTTAACCTGTCCAATGTTGTCCTTGACAAGTTGAAGGAGCTTGGCATTCCATTTGAAAACTGTCGAGGACAGGCCTATGACAATGGGGCCAACATGAAGGGAAGAAGCAAGGTGTTCAGGCCAGACTGCTACAATTAAACCCGAGAGCATTGTTTGTGCCTTGTGGAGCTCACACGATGAATCTGGTCATAGCTGATGCTGCCAAGTCCTCTCCAGATGCAACTGGCTACTTTGGGTATTTGCAGAAGTTGTTCAATTTCTTTTCCAGTGCCACCCAGCGATGGGCCATTTTAACAAAACATGTGAAATTGACACTTAAATCTTGGAGTGACGTTAGATGGGAAAGCAGGCTTCAAAGTGTAACTGCTGTCCGGAGTCAGACAAAAGAAGTGAGGGATGCTCTCCTGGAGGCCAGAGAAGCTGTAAGTGATGCAGTCGCAAAGGTGGAGGCTCAAGTGCTTGCTGAGGAAGTAGCCTCATTTCGATTTTTGATTTGCTCCATCGTGTGGTGTGAACTTCTTACAATCACAAACCAGGTGAACAAGTTACTACAGTCCAGCTCCATGCAGCTCGATGTTGCTGTCAGGCTCATTGACACTGCCAAAAGTAACCTCTCTAAATACAGACAGTCTGGGTTTGATGAGGCTGTGTCAGCTGCCAAAGAACTCTGTGAGGCCCTGAACATAGAACCACAGTTGAAGGAGAAAAGGCTCAGGAGCACAAAAAGGCAGTTTGCATATGAAGCTGTTGATGAGCCCCTCCATGATGCCCTTAAAAAGCTTGAGGTCACATTTTTCAATTGTGTTGTGGACTCTGCTTTAATCTCCCTACAGGAGAGGTTGAGACCATGAATCAAGTGAAGGAGAAATATGGAGTGCTGCTTGATTTCAGCAAAGTGAATGGGATGTCCAAGGAGGATTTAAAAAACACTGCACTGAAGTACAGAAGACACTGACAGATAAGGGAGTAGCTGACATTGATGGACCTGAGATGATGCAGGAAATCATCAACCTTCCTCAGCTGCCACCACAGACGTCTGCTTTGGAAATGCTGTCATTTTTACATGACAATCAGCTTCAAGAGGTATATCCCAATCTGTGGATTGCTCTGCGTATTGCACTGACCCTGCCTGTCACAGTTGCCTCTGCTGAGCGAAGCTTTTCAAAGCTCAAACTCATTAAAACGTACCTGCGTTCATCAATGGGGCAGGAACGTTTAAGTGGTCTGGCTGTTATCAGCATCAATGGTGACGTGGCTCAGAAGCTATCATATGATGACCTTATAGCTGATTTTGCAACCAGAAAATGCAGGCGTGTGCCTCTCTAGGCCCTAGAGAGGCACACCACGCCTGCATTTTCTGGTTGTCAGAGTATGCCCTAGAGTCTAGGGCATACTCTGACAACGAATTGTAAAAATGTTTAACATAGTTACTTAAGGAATGTGGCTTTTGTGTTCAAATTCTTATTTTTCTTATTTAAGTTTCTTATTTAAATTCTATTGTGAAACTATTTGTAAATATATTAATAATAATACTATTATATTATATATATTATTTTTTTATAAAAAAATTACACATTATTGCCAGGCTCTTTGTTCTTGTTCCAATGTTCAATTTTTGTTTCAGTATTTATTTGTAACAGTATTTTTAACCTCCTTTAACCTTATTTATTTGTTTAACTGTCATGTTTGTTGTTATTTAATTAAACAAATTCCACTGAGAAATTCAAAAGTATTAATGTTTTTTGTTTTTTTTCAGTGGCGGGGGGGGCACCATAAAGCATTTGTGCTTAGGGCACCCAAATGGCTAGCAACGGCCCTGTATACAGTTGTCAGCCAGGCATCTAACTATGAAAAAATTACACTCCAAAAGACTCCAAAAGGCTTAAGCCCAGTAAGCCACCCCCACGCTCTGCCCCTGAGTATAATATTTTGTGTTAATGAGAAGATTTTGATACTTACAGTGAATGATGAGTTTGGTTCCTCCACCAAAAGTGTACCACAGTGATACAAACTCATTAAGCAGCCGTACAAAAACCTCCCACACTCTGATCAAGCCTCTAAACGCTGGAAATTAACTACTTTCCCCAGTGAACTTCACAGTTTAGAAAATATTTATCATAAAAGTGTTTGTGTTCAATTGACTTTCTTTAAAAAAAAAAAAAATTAAGGATTGTTTTAATATTTTTCTTGATTAAAAAAGTAAAATCTACGCTTTCCAACCAACCTGCCATTTTAATCCAGATGTTAAAAAGAATCGCTTTCTGAAGTATCTTCCAGTGTTTTGTTAGGATCATAATCATGTCATAATAATTTATTGTTGCTTCTCACATTGCTTTGTTGTGTGTTGAGAGCAGAGAAATGATTTCCATAGAGAGGAGGCTTTGCATCACCAGCTGATCCTCCAGAGAACTGAGAAGGTTTATAGTTCTGTGAGTTCAACACTGCAGGACTCACATCTGTCAGTCAACACAGCAGAAAGCACAACCACCATGACTCTCATCACCATCCTCATCTGGACGCTGACCTGCTGCTGTTTTACAGGTTCATTCACTCAGCAACATTTCAAACATGATGTGCTGCTTTTTCTCTCATTGATTTCTGCTGATAAATGAATGCTTTGTTTTTGTCTGCAGGATGCAGCGGTCAGGTGACTGTGACTCAACCTCCAGTAGTGACATCTACTCCTGGATCCACTGTCACTCTGACCTGTAGGACCAACAGTGCTGTTGGAACCTGTAATAGTAAACCTTGTATGTTTTGGTATCAACAGAAATCTGGACAGACTACTAAGCTCCTAATAAAGCACGGCAGCATAATTCATTCAAGAACACCATCTCGATTTAGTGGCAGTGGAAGCAGCTCTGACTTCTCTATGACCATCAGTGGAGTTCAGGCTGAAGATGCAGCAGTTTATTACTGTAAGAGTGTGCATAACGGGCCAGTGTTCACACAGTAATTTGTAGTTGTACAAAAACCTCCCTCAGTCACACTACAGAGACACTGAGCTGTTACAGCAGGAACTGACTGCAGCTTCTGAAGAGGAAGAAACTCTGACACAGACCACTGAACACAGAGCTGACAGTAACCTCAACAAGCACTAAATACAGATCCACATTTATACATTTATACAGAGCTGACAGTAACCCCACAGAGAATTACCAATCAATCAATTTATTTATAAGCACATTTAAAAACAACACAGGTTGACCAAAGTGCTGTACATAGTAAAAAAGGAAAAGGTAAAACAAACACATGCAAAGAACAAAACAAAAGCTCAGTCACAATTAAAAGCTAGTGAATAAAAATGTGTTTTTAGACTGGTTTTAAAGATGTCGAGAGTTAGAGAGATCCTAATTCGAAGAGGCAGACTGTTCCAAAGTTTAGGCGCAGTAATCGCAAAGGCCCGGTCTCCTCTGTGTTTTAGTCTGCTTCTAAAAATTGTCATGGTATGCGCCGGCAGACCATGGTAATTTTGGGAAAATAAGACCCAGGACCCAAATAAGACCCAAATGCAGGAGTGTGCGATAAATCTAGTGTGTTTATTTACAGTGAAGTAAATAGTACACAACAATACATCTCTATGCATTTCCAACTCCCATGCCGTGTCTTCTTCCCAGTGCTCGTGCTCCACACACACACACACACACACACACACACACACACACACACACACTACACAGGGAAACAAGGGACAGCAGTACAATAGACACACACCCCATCAAACATAAACAAGTCCATACAGTTGAGACAGTCCCTCGACCCAGGTCCTTCACAGGAACAGTCAGAAGTAACTTATCGGCAGACCTAAGAGTGCTGTTTGAAGTATTTCGGTTAAAAGATCAGAGAAGTATGATGGAGCTAATCCATTTAGAGACTTAAAAACAAGTAATAAAATCTTAAAATCAATTCTATAACATACTGGAAGCCAGTGTAAACGAGCCAAGACTGGGGAAATATGGTTGTGTTTATAAGTGCCTGTCAAGAATCTGGCACCAGTATTCTGAACAAGCTGAAGATGAGAGAGCAGAGCCTGGCTGATACCAAAATAAACACTAATACAGTAGTCAAGCCTGGATGAAATTAATGCATGACTCACTTTCTCAAAGTCAGCAGATAACAAAAGGTTTTTAATTTTAACAAGGGCCCCTGAGCTGGAAGAAGCTGGCTTTTACAACAGAATTTATTTGTTTCTCAAATGAAAAACTGGACATTTGAGTATTAATCCACATTAGTATAAACAGCTCTTACAGGTTACTCCAGCCTTCTAAAAGAAACAGACCCCCTGGGCTTTCTTTTTCAAACCACTACACTGAACCCAGTTATTCCAAGCACACTGATCAAGAGGTAGTAATGGGCTTATTCCCTCACCCCATCTAAGCTTTGTATTGCTTCCTGGGTAACACTCTTACAATCAGAGATTTAGTTAGACTGTGAGCCGATTCAGACACCCTGTACTGGGGTGCTGGTAGTGTTGTTCTCTCACACACAAAGTTTTTCTTCCCTTCTAAAAACTTTGAAATTCATATTGATCTGAGTGTGCTCATCTCACACTGAGGTCCTCACCTGGACTTTAGCATTCGCTGTACCCTGCACACTGTCTCCTGCAGAGGGACTGTCTGTGGTCATGATGGATGATTCTGCAGAGTCCACTTCTCCTTTCAACCAGCTCTACCAGCTTAGCCTCAGTGTGTTACTGCTGCTCTTCTCCTTCGAACTGGTCAGAATCGTCTCTGTCACATTTGTAAGATTTAAAGATTTAAAATTCATGAATATTTAAATTATTGTTTATGTTGCTGTAAGTCATTAAAAAACACTTAAGGATTTTAACTGATATATTCTCTGTTTTTCTTCCCTCAAGACTGAAATAATTTTATTTATCATTTCAGACTCCTTTGACAATAACTTCTTTTTTTTTAAACTCAAACCAATAAAGCAAAGTCTGTCAGTCTTGAAGGGACTCTCACCATCAGCTCTGCAGGGAGTTCAGATATTGATAATGATCTCGGTTGGTACCTTCAGGAACCTGGACACCCTCCAAAGCTCCAACCACAAAACTTTGTACATACTTGGCATTAAATTGCTTGTCAGGAACTCCATTTTGATTCAGTGGCAGTGGATCTATTTCTCAGTATGCTTCAACCATCAGTGATATTCAGGCTGAAAGAGCTGTTTAAAACCCCTTTTATAAATCCAAATAAGAATTTATCAGAAAAGATCAATGATCGTTTGGAATTGAGAGAATAATGATAAAATAAAATTTAAAAAATTCTATAGAGAGATGAGGGATGATTTCACTTTCGCTTGTTATGCGTCACTGATCCTAGACCAGTTTAAAAAGAACCAGCAGGAAACGTCTGTACAGAGTCTCTGACAGTTATTCATGACAATGATGATAATGTTACTGACTCAACTGCTGATCACACTTATGCTCAGACTTCAAGGTGAGAAGTGATGTGGTTCTATTATTTCTCTGTTACACTGTAATTTACATCACACTGTCATTTTAATAAAGCATATTTTAATTTCCAGGATCAGATGCCAGTCCATCTGTGACTCAGTCTCCTGTATTTAAGGCTGCTGCTTTGGGGCAGACGGTCTCTCTGAGTTGATGATGATCTCAGCTGGTATCTACAGAACCCTGGACAGCCTCCCAAACTGCTTTTTAACAAAATCAGCAGATGCGAATCTGGTACTCCAAGTCATTTCAGCAGCAGTGGATCTGAGCCTGAGTTCACTCTGACAATTGTTATGACCCGGCTCAAAAGCCGCAACATGAAAAAGGAGATGAATACCGGAGTGTGAGTGAGAAGAGGTTTTATCTTAAAATGGCATAGCAGGCTGGCTGAAATGGCTGGTGACACCAAGGCAAAGACCAGTGAGCCTTCTGGAAAGCCTGCCTCAAGTATGCTCTTATTCACACCTGACTAGGTGTGGCCAATTAGCAACAACTGAACACACTAAGGAGATTACGGGCTGCAGAGGGGCGTAACACCTCCTGCCTCAGAAGGGTTCCTCTAGGACCCCTAAATTTATTAAAAGCCCCTCTGGACCTTGATCCCTCAAACATAAGCTTTTCTTCTTTTTAATGGATTTACACAGAAAACTTAATGATTTTTCCAATAACTCTGTCATGTTGGGTTTTCTGAGATGCTGCAGATTATTACTCTCTGTGTTGGCATGATGGTGGAGTGTTCACACAGTAATTTAGACTAATGAGAATAACTGGTCCACTAAAGACAGTCAGAGTCATCAAGCAGAAACACAATGAATGAAAGAAATTAAATCAAATTAATGGATTTTAGATGCAGCATTAACTTGAGTTTAAATAATCTATTATTGTGTTTAAGTATATGATTATGGTTAATGTAGCCCAGTTGATATAATTTACATATTATTGAATTTAATTAAATGTTTTACTTTACATATTTTTAAGATTACCAGCAAAAACAGTCTAATGTAGAGTGTGATGATGTGAGTATTTTATTATTTAGATTTTTTCAGTGTTGATATATAAACTATAAAAATCTACAGACCACATACAATATAACTATGTAACTTATGTAAGTTTTTGTTCATGAATAAATTTAACAAACCCGCTAAAAGATGTTTTCCAAATATGCAATTGTTTTTCTAAAGTTGCAAAACTTGCACTTTATACAACAGAATGGAAGGGAAATGAAAAGTGACCTCACAGTTGTCAAGTATACTTGAAAAGTATACTTGACAACTGTGAGGTCAGAAAACTGATGCACTGATGAACATGAATAAGGCTCATAAGTATACTTATGAGCCTTATTCATGTTCATCAGTTTTCTTTTGTTAGCTGAATAAAAACCTTGTTTGTCTGCAAAGAGTTTTTAAATTACATCAATGTAACACATTGGTGAAGTGAAAGCAGTGATCTGTTTATTTATTTTGGTGTTAGGTTTCAGTAGACATCATCTATTTATATAAATATATTTAAATTATTTAAATTATTTTCATATTAATAAAAAAAAAGTTCTGATACTTGAGAGTAAATGTCTTGTTGATGCAGTTATATTCTTGATAGATTTGGGTACTTATAATGACTGAAGAGTTTGGTTCCTCCACAAAAAGTCCAGCACAGTGATCCAAAGTCATTAAGTGGCACAAACACCTCTGAACAAGCATCTAACCACTTTTTTTTTTCTAGTAAAGCAAACATTTTAAACCTCTGTGTTGAAAAAACTGTTCACCACCAAATCATTTTCATTTCTTTTGAGATTGTTTCTGTAATATTTCTTAATTGGTTAAATTATAAAAATGGCTTTAAATCGCAATATAAATGCATAATCATGGGTTAAAAATGAACACAAGAGAAATAAGAATGTCTCTTGAAATAACCCTGCTGTCTTACTCCTTTCAGCTTTGTGAAAGTCCAGGATCGTGGACTCTGTGGTGAAGCGCTGACAGTTGCTCTGTCTAAAGCAACAGTGGACTGTGCAAAGCAGCAAAATATAACACATCTGTCAGAAAGGTTGACATTTGAACAGCAGAGAAGTCAAGAATGAGTAGGTTTTTTGATTTCTTTTCAGGCATGAGTGAGAAAAACAGTGACCAAATTGTTCAGAAATTGAAAGTTTGTGAGTGCTGAAGGATGCTTTCTCAGTGTGTGAGTGACAAGTTGTAACTCAGCTGCTCAGTAAATCACTGTTATAGTGTTGCCCTCTGGAACTCACATAGAGCATTCTGTGCATGGTTGGAAAATATAAAGTTGTAAATTCTCATAGATAAAGAATAAAAGGATAAAACATTAGTGATTTTTCACAAACTGGGGTTTTATTTTGTGGTGCAGACTTGCTTTTTATAGCATGGTTTGAAAACACAATATGAATAAACAGATGATATCTGCATGCACAATAGACAATAGAGAGTCATGAAAATTAGAACAAACGAAACCTGTAGCTTCTTCAAACACATCATATGCAAACAGGAAGTGTTGCTGAAGCTCTACTCTAAGCAGTGGTCAGGGTCCAGGGTTTGAGTGACAGGGCACTGTCCACTCAGACTGGCCCCACAGCTCACTGAGCCCGCCTTCCTCCACTGGTCTGCAGAGAGGCTCAGGGTGCTGCTCCAGCTATAGTGACCGTCTGTCCCCAAGACCTCCAGGCTGGTTGAAACCCCCGAAGATGTGCTGGTGCCCCCCACCTTCCAGCCCAGCTTCCAGTTTGAGGGGAAACCCCCGGTGGCCAAACACACCACAGTGGCACTACTCTGTTTGTCTTCCTCTTTGGATGGAGGGAGGACAGTGAGGGTGGGCCTCACCACACCCACTGGAGGAGAGAGAGGGGAGAAGAGCAACCAAAGACATGAGAATGAAAGCAGGAAAGAAATACCTACATGGTTTTTAATCATTGTTGATTGCTCAATATTATTATTTCTGTAATGTTTTACAGTCAATAACTCATCTATGTGATAATTTTAATGTTACACTCACAGAGTTGAAACACTCATGTACAGTTTAAACTTTGTCATCTGCTTCTTTCACTTCCTTTAAACTACAAGTACAATCAATCATCCATGAAGTCAAAGCTGGTCTGTGTTTACTGACACTTTTTATTTTGGGGGAAATCCATAAATTAATGTCTGAAAAAAGTTATTTTCAAAATAGAAACAATAAAGAAATAGATGAACATATTTGACAATTACAGCTTGAAAATAACCAAACCTGAAATATTTTAACTGGAAAATACTAAAAAGATATTAATTAACTTTTCAGAGAACCCTAAAATGAAAAGGGAGCAAAATATTTTTTGTTTTTTGTGTTTTTTTAACATAAATTCTGATATTTGTAAATCTGAATGAGTTCTGATCTTTGGGAAGTTATTTCGCAGACTGTGAGATCAACTTTGTTTCACAAATGATGAAAATGATCAACAACAATTACCAAACTTGATCAAATATCTTTTAAAAATTTTATAAAATGTTTTGTAAATCCTAGTAGTTGTGAAAAGTAAATATTTCTGGTACTTACAGTCAACGATGAGTTTGGTTCCTCCACCAAAAGTCCACCACAGTGATACAAACTCATTAAGTGGCCGTACAAAAACCTCCTGTACTCTGATCAAGCATCTAACAACTGAAAATGAACCTTTTTTTCATGTAAAACATCACAGTACACCTGATTAAATGCAGAAGATGATTTGACTAAAGTGACTTAAAAGTATTTAATGAATTTAAGTCATGATTATCATAATTGTATTTTTAGTATTAAGAACTGAAAGATAAAACACATGTGCACAAAACTGTTTAAAACAGCAAAGAGAAACACTTCAAGAAATATGAATTCCAAAACTATGACAAAATAATAAAGACAGTTTTACAGTTATATTGTATTCGTTAATACCAACATCAGAAGTAAGTATACAAACCAGACTCCCATTTTAATCTAGGTGTTAAAAATGCGTAAATATGTTTCCAATATATTTTCTCTATTCCATAAAATCATTAATGGTATTAATTCAATCAATTTTCTTCTGATTCTGTGCCCACATTGCCTTCAGTGTGTTGAGAGCAGAGAAATGATTTCCATAGAGAGGAGGCTTTGCATCATCAGCTGATCCTCCAGAGAACTGAGAAGGTTTATAGTCCTGTGAGTTCAACACTGCAGGACTCACATCTGTCAGTCAACACAGCAGAAAGCACAACCACCATGACTCTCATCACCATCCTCATCTGGACGCTGACCTGCTGCTGTTTTACAGGTTCATTCACTAAGCAACATTTCAAACATGATGTGCTGCTTTTTCTCTCATTGATTTCTGCTGATAAATGAATGATTTGTTTTTGTCTGCAGGATGCAGCGGTCAGGTGACTGTGACTCAACCTCCAGTAGTGACATTTACTCCTGGATCCACTGTCACTCTGACCTGTAGGACCAACCCAGCAACATATTCCAACTGTGGTTATAGTCGTCAGTGTATGTTCTGGTATCAGCAGAAATCTGGACAGACACCAAAACTTCTAATAAAGCAAGTGAGCACAAGTCATTCAGGAACACCAACTCGATTTAGTGGCAGTGGAAGCAGTTCTGACTTCTCTATGACCATCAGTGGAGTTCAGGCTGAAGATGCAGCAGTTTACTACTGTCAGAGTGTTCATAACATAGACAGTACTTGGTTGTTCACACAGTGATTTGTAGTCGTACAAAAACCTCCCTCAGTCAGACTGCAGAGACACTGAGCTGTTGAAGCAGGGACTGACTGCAGCTGCTGAAAAAGGAGAGACTGCTGACACAGACCACTGAACACGCAGCTGATAGTAACCTAACCAACACTCCCAAAGTCGATTCTGTTCATCTGGACGTAGCCTTTCAGTGGGACAACTGACTTCTTAACTCTCAGCTGACTGCAGCTTTTTATTCATTCATTTGCATAATGAATGAAACTAACACCACTGGCGAACAATGTGCTGTGAGGTCAGTTTATTGATCATTAATATGCAAATAGTCATGACCATTGATCAACAGCCAGTGATCAAAGACCATAAATCCATGATCAATGACCACTGCTCTATGGCCATGAGTACCATACACAGAGAATTGGGGAATGGCTGCAATCACAGCACTGTAAAATGGTGAAAGATGTACCCTTAGGCTCCCTCCTCAATCCAGAGATGGCTTTTCCCTTTCATGTAAATGGATTCTGTGACTCCACGCTCAAACCAGCATTCATCCCTGTTCAAGATGTGTACATCTTCATCCGTATGCGTTGGTTTACAGTACACATCAGCTTCTAAATGTCTCCCATTACTTATGGAAATCTTACACTCTAAGAAGGCCAACCTGTCATTTTTGATATCCTCCCTTGTAAACTTGATGTATTGGTCCAACGAGTTAATGTGATCCGTGAATTCTGGTGCGTCCTGCAATTTGATTTTCACCCAGGTGTCATCCTGTGATATAAGGTCCGATCAATAGCATTGCCTTGTTCTAACTGCTTCAGACAATCTATCACCCTCTTCCTGTAACCACATCCTGGGTCTCATTTCAGGGACTCATTGGTATTTTGTCCTTTTTCTGGAACAAAATACAGCATTGTTATACATTGTGTTTGAAAATGTAATTTGTCTCAGTTGACAATATTAACTCAGTGACCACTTTTTCATTTTGACTCTACAAAAGGGGGAGGGGGGGGGGGTTACAACCTTATCTCCTCTTACGGTGTCACCTAAAGATTGCTTTAGATGAGAACTAAAGGTTTCACCACCAGTTAAATTAGCCAGAGCCCAGACTTGAACCTGATTGAATATCTCTGAAGGGATCTGAAAATAGTCTATAGCACACAGGAGTATTAGGTTATTATGTACATGTTGTTAAGTTGTCTTCTGGCAACCGATGACTTGAAACAAATGAGCATGCTTTGTTTGCACTGTGCAACAGCACGACAAAACATTACCTGTCCTTTATTAACTGCACAAGAAGTGGTGGTCATTAGCCGCTAGCTATTTGGGTAAGGCTGTCATGGGACTTTAGCTCTTTCCACTGTTTTAGGGAACTAAATATTTCTTTTTAAAGTAAGTTACAGGACTTTGACCTTCCTGGAGGGCTTTTATTTTGTTAAAATCTATCTAATATGCATATCCACATAATTGTGGATTATTATAATTATGATATTCACAAAAAACACACTGTATTGTAAAGAAAATACATTAAGAAACAAATTAGATTAGATTTTTATTTCAAATATGGCAAAAACTGCAACAAAAGGAGCCATGTGAGGCTGCTAAAGGCAACAGCTGGATGAAAAAGAGTACAGGCAACAATAACACATGTACCAGTTGTTACATTGCAGAGGTATTCAAATATAAACACAATAATAAACACAATTGCAATGATTTGGTTCTACATTTTTCTATCATTAAATTATTATGGATTAGGTGCAAAAGCTGTTAATTGCAGATACTTAAATAATAGATTAAGCAACAGCAAATTGTGCCTTGTTTTCAGATGGAGAGCAAGTGGAGAGTGATAGATCAGATGAAGATGAGGTGGAAGGAGGACGAGAGGCAAAGAGTGATTCACAGGCAGAGCCTAGTTTATTTCCCACTCTTTTTTCAATCCGTTGCCTTGTGGTTCCAAGCGCTGTCACCAATCTTTACATTTTATTATCATCTCATAACACTTGTTTTATCAGCTACCATCTCTCCTATGGACTTTTTTATGTCTGCAGTCTCAAATCAACACAGCCCTTCCCACCAGCACTATCAGCAGCAGGAGCAGCAGCAACCCATCAACAGCAACATTGTACCCCATCAAGTAAAACATAGGCTATGTTTGCTTTGCATTGTCCCCACCTGATGACAGTGATATAGTATGATGCAATTCCATGTTAGATTCTTGATAAATGTGTGTTTTCTCAGCCTGGTCCCTTTTAACTTTAAGCACCCGCCCCTTTAAATATCTCTGCACATACTCCTTATAAAGGTTGGGGAAACCTGCAGTCAGCCTACATAGAAGTAGTCACTGGTATGGGTGACGAAACGTTGCTCCACTGTAAATGCTACGCCCAGATGAACAGAATGAACTTTTTGGGATTTCCTTAACTGGATGATTGAGCATACATGAAGACATCTATGACTCCAAGTTTACAGCAGTGTTGTACCCTGCACACTGGCTCTTGTAGATAGACTGGGACTGCCTAAGGTCATGAGAGATGACCCTGTAACTACTCTCCCAGCATAGCCTCCGGGTGCTGCTGCTTTAGTAGTACCGTATGTCTTCTTCTCTTAAGACTTAAGTGATCAAGAGGAACCCCTCTATCACATCAACTGGCCCACAACCCCTGCTAGTGTTTAGAGCAGAGAAACAGAGTAAACTGAGAAAATCAAAGTTTTCTTTAAAAAGATACTAACTCAAAGAAAGGGCTAGACCACTGTTTGAACTGAAAACCAAAAAACAACCACAACCTGCAATTTGCTGCCAGCAAATACCAGATACTCACTGGGAGCTCAACACATCTCTCCATTAATACAGGCAGACTACACCACTAACACTCATCACCCAAGGCTAGCCCATTCACTGAGTCAGTGGCACTTCACTGCCTTATACTTCTGGTGGCTGATTGCTAAATGAATGCAGTTGCGCACAGGCTCCTCAGGAGAAATGGGTAGCAGCTGAGCTCCTGGAAGAGACTGGGCACACCCACACAACCTTTCACTAGAGTAATAAAATCCAACCACACAAAGAGTTAAAGTGCAGTGGTATTAAGATATTGGCTATTTTGCTGTAAAGTGGAAGTGGAAGAAAAAAAATTAAGATATAAAAAGAGAAGTCCTTTTTAAAATAAGTCCATGATATTTTGATAAATATGAGTGTCAACCTAGCATGTGAAGAAAAAATTCAGGCAATGGGTCAAATGCCACTAAGTACAGTCTAAGTTTAACTCGGGAATTTATATTCCTTTGTGAAACCCATTATTCCAGCATTCAATCTAAATCTATATGTGACAAAGAGGAGAATTTTTTTTCTCAAGGCTTTGGACAGTATGCTTTGCCATGTTGCTGCTTGTTTTGCCATTAGGAAGAAAACGAAAGTGAAATTCTGCCATGAAGAAAAAACACTTTTCCAAAAAGAATATATCAGCTCAATCACGTAATTATCAATAATATCTACTTTTCTGAATTACAAGAACAGATGTGTGGTTGCCGCCTAAATGTGTTTTGCATGATTTTTATGCCTCACTGCTTCTCAGAGTTTAAGTTCTTCTGTCACTGTTCTGAACTGTTCATTCACTCACACTGAAAACTGCATTAAGTCGATGTTTTCAATAACTCTGATTGTGATGTTGGGTTTCTGACTCTTTTTTATTCTGTTATGCTGTCAGAGTTTTTCTGATTTAAAATGACGTATTTTGGGATGTTTTTTTCTTAAGATTGAAATCAATTTAATTTTCATTTGCCAGTCATTTGCCAGCAATGTTCTTACTCAAACTGATAAACTAAATCTGTCAGTCTTGGAGGGACTGTGACCATCACTGCACAAGGAGTTCAAATATTAGTGCTATTCTAAGCTGATACCTTCAGAAACCTGGACAGCCTCCCAAACTTCTAATATACTAGACGATACATTTCTACTCAGGAACTCTGTTTCAGTTTAGAGGCTGTAGATCTGGTTCTCAATAGACTTTATCCATCAGCGATGCTGGAGACTATTACTGTCTGATAGTGGAGAGTTCACACTGTGATTTACAGTTCAGTCTGGCTGAAGGCTGCAGGTGCAGAGCTTTCAACTGACATGAGAATATAGGTATTTGTTTGCAGGTTGTGTTTTGAATGCTTGCTGCGCTTCACTGATCCTAAAAATGTTTAAGAAGAACCAGTGAGGCACGTCTGTGCAGAGTGAGATTTATCATAATGATGATGATGTTACTGACTTCACTGCTCATCACAATCGTGCTCAGACTTCAAGGTGATGAGTGATGTGGTTCTGTTATATTCTCTGTTATGTTGTACTTTACATCACACTGTCATTTTAACAAAGTAACATATTTTAATTTCCAGGATCAGATGCCAGTTCATCTGTGACTCAGTCTCCTGTGTTTAAAGCTGCTGCTTTGGGGGAGACGGTCTCTCTGAGCTGTACAGCCAGTAAAGGAGTTGACAATGATCTCAGCTGGTATCTACAGAAACCTGGACAGCCTCCCAAACTGCTGTTTTACCAAATCAGCAGCCGTGAATCTGATACTCCGAGTCATTTCAGCAGCAGTGGATCTGAGCCTGAGTTCACTCTCACAATCAATGGAGTTCAGGCTGCAGATGCAGGAGATTACTACTGTATGGGACTGTATAGAGGCCCAGAGTTCACACAGTGATACAGAGTCATACAAAAACCTCCCTCAGTTACTATTTGCAGTGTTGCAGCTGTGAGCTTCTGATACAGACTCTGACATGCATCACTGGTTCACTGAGTTCACTTTCAGAGGTGGAAAATAAAATATTTACGCATTCCTGATCACATTATTGAGAAGATTTTAAATGAAGTAACACCGTTTAGAATCTGTAACATATAATGCTTGTCTCACAACATTTCATGAAAAGGCTTTAAATTTGATTAATAAAATGTTAATATTAATTCTACAGTTGGCCAAAAAGCCACAAAGGGAGGCAAGAGAACATGTGGTGTTCTTTGATAATAC